CCCTCCCCACCTAACCCTCGCGACCGCTGATCGAGTTTATCATATACGCGAATGACCTCGGTCGACCGGATAAGGAAGCGAATCACGCTAAGACGGATCGATAAATCGGTCACCGTGACCAGACGTGAATGTTGGAATTAATCATTGCATGAGACGATTCAGTCTAAGCCCTCAATAACCCAATAAATAAATTCCATTGGGGCCGAGGTTCTGTCAAAAGCGTCGATTCCTTTGAACCAAGTGCAATTGAAACATTTGGATTCCGTAATGAATTTGAACAGGCAAGTTAGAAGACAAACACTGCGAGAGGAATTCCTTTCGTATACTCATCGGTCGCGTACGTATAACAATGTTCAATTGATAGAGAAGCAGATAATACGTGAGTTACAAATTCTCATGCTATACGCTTTTATCACTGAAACACAAATGAAACAACTAAAGCCCATAGGTTGTCATACACCGATTCTTTACGGACTACCAAAGACATAAACTATCTGTCCCTTTACAGCCCATATTGTCCATGCATGATTCGCCAAACCACAAACTAGCACAGTGGCTCGTAGAAGTCCTTCAGCCGATACACAAACACCTCAGTAATCATACATTACGTGACTCCTGCCAACTTTGTGATACGTTGTCCAGTTTGAATCTATCTGGTAAAACGATGTGTTCCTTTGATGCTACCTCATTATTCACAAATGTCCCCTTACATGAAACCGTAGGCCTCATCTGCGAACTCACCAGACGAGAGAATGTCAACATTAGCATACCTCCGTTGCTATTGAAACTCCTCATTTTACTGTGCACTGAAAACGTGCGCTTCCGGTTTCAAGGAACCGCATTTCGACAGATAGACAGATGGTGGCGATGGGTAGGCCCCTTGGTCCTATCCTGGCTGATAGTTTCATGGGTATGATTGAAGCACAGCTGGACGAGGTAATCAAGGGAATATTTTTCTATAAAAGATACGGGGATGATGTGTTCATCACCTTCAATCACCCTCACGATATGGCTGTATTGCTAGGTGAATTTAACGCAGAAAACCCCAACTTGTAATTCACTTGTGAAGCGGAGAAGGCAAATTCGTTAGCTTTCCTTGATGTTCCAATAACCCGCAAAAGTGACGGTTCTATCCAACGATCTATCTTCTGCAAGAAGACTTGGTCCAGGCAGTACCTTCACTTCGAC